TAACCCAGACAGTAAACCCTTCAGAAATCTTAAAATCTCTGCTTAACAAAGCACGACAAACCCAGGCTGGGTTGAAGAACAATGTTCTCCCCCAAGCAAGTCACAGTTATCGCTGGTCCCATCACGGCTGGATAGGTCCAGCCTGGAAAAAAGCCACCTCTGGGTTCTGTTTCAGGAGACAAAAAGACACCTTCAGCAATCAGAGCCAGGCTCCTTTCCAGGACAAATGGGAACCAAAGACAGATAAGGTGATGACGCTGGCAGTGACAAAATTCAAGTGTTCGCACTGGGAGTGCAGCTCAGCACCAGCCCCAGGGCCTTGGGAGCAGCTTTGTCAACCAACAGCTCAGCTAACACCATGTACAGCTCACAGAGGCAGCAAAGTAGTGAGAACATTCAGCATTTTGTTTTAAAAAGGCCAGGTTTGCCACTCAGTCAGGACACGATGCTGCTGTGTGAAGAAACAGTAATAACAAAAAAAAAAATCCATTTATACTAAATCTGTTTGCCTCTGGTTCCAAGCAGGCTCCTCTCCTACGCCCCACCCCAATGAAATCAGCTGCTAAAATCTCTGGACAGAAGTTACAGGCAACGTTCCAGGAGCAAGGTGAATTTAAGGTCCAACAAGTTGAAAATGAAAACTAGGAACTCTGGAAACCTGTGCCCCCCCCTGCTCCACGTCCTACTTACTGAGCCACAGGAGCTCCACACTCATTGTTTCACAGGGAGTTGTCCTGAATTACCCCAAGGATTGACTACCTCCTACAAGGTCTTATCTCTTCACACAAGGAACAAGATAGCTCAATTCAATCACGAAACACTTCAGCAAACACAACGGTTTCTCACTCAGCATCAGCCTTTGCTACTGTCTTGCTCCAGCCTGGAGGCCAAAGCACCTCCATCCCAGCACATCCACAGCTGAGCCACAAAACCACAAAAACAGCAGAGTTAACCTCTGCCTTCCCCCAGGCAAGAGATATGGGTACAAACTACACAGTCACAGTCATTCACCACGACAGCTCCAAAAGTCACTCCAAATGGGGTGTCACAGAATTACGAGGTCTCTGGCAGGTCAGCAAAAAATCTCTGTAAAACATTTGGCTCGTAGCTCAGGAGGGAAAGGTAGCAGAAATTCAGACACCTCCTCAAGTTGTTCACGGGGAGGGGAGAAATTATTGGGTATAAAATGCCACACCAAGTAGATGGATGGCTGAGCTGAACCACTTGCAAATGCAGCAGGAAGAAAACCAGCACTGACATCCCATAGAGTGCCCCAAGCACCCTGACAGCACTCAGCACATTAATTACACAAAGAACTAGAGCAAATTTAAGAACAAAAGGTTGTCAGGATAACGTCCCAAAGTATTTTGCTGGTTTGTCAAGTGCACTCGACTTATTTACAATAATGTTTTCATGCAGGTTAGCACCTTGTGCTTCTGCACCTTGTTTAAAAGTCAAACAGTCTCTCCATCAGTTCCTCCCTTTAAATTTGCCTAAGGAACAGTAGGAATTTGCCTTTCTGCCTGCTTGCAAATTAGCACACATCAACTGTAATTAAAGGGCTGATCTCAGGCACTTTGGCCACTTTGGCTCTTGTGCTGTATCACATGGACACAACATCCAGGATCTCAGAGGGAAGTCACAGCTTCTGTGTCTTCCTCAATGAAAAAGCTGTTCTTTTATTCTGGAATGATTTTATTCCAAAGCCTAAAGGGGCTCCAAGAGAGCTGGGGAAGGACTTTGGACAAGGGCCTGGAGGGACAGGACAAGGGGGAATGGTTTCCCACTGACAAAGGGGATATTGGGAAGAAATTCCTCCCTTTGAGAGTAGTGAGGGGTTAGAGTGGATTTCCCAGAGAAGCTGTGGCTGCCCCATCCCTGGAAGTGTCCAAGGCCAGGTTGGATGGGGCTTGGAGCAACCTGGGACAGTGGCAGGGGGTGGGACAAGATGGGCTGTAAGGCCCCTTCTAACCCAAACCATTCCAGGATTCTGTGGTTCCCATAATGGTTTTGAACCTGTGACCATCTGAAGGTATAGATCTGATTTTTGGGGATAAAAATGGGAACTGGGTATCCAGCCAGGGATCCTGCTGGGAAAAAGCAGCAGAGCTGGTGGCATAAGAACTAAGCACTCCCATTTCCAGCCCTTTCCCCTACTCAGACTATATTTGGAGTCCGTGCCTCCAGAAGCAGCAGATTCATATCACACTGGTTTCCTTCTGAGGCACGTAGCCCAGGAGTCAGCTCAGATGCTAAAACAAATTACTTCTTTGTTTGCACAAAGGTGAAGGACTTGAAGAGTATTTCCTATTTTTAGTAGGAAAAGAATTGGGAAAAAAAGTAGCACAGCAGGAGATAAAGGGGATGAAAGTCAGCCTGGTGTAAGGCAGTAACTGCAGAAGACTCTTAAAGCATCCATAAACTTAGTATTTCAAGTGCTTTTTTAAAAAAGCAGCTTTGGGTCGGAGCCTGTGTGTGCAAAGGCTACTTCACTGATTTCCCAAAATGCTTCACAGTTGTCCTACAGGGATTTAAACCTTTTAGGGACACTACTTAAAGGTTCCTATCCCAATACCTGCAGAGGGAGTGTGTAAGCACAGGCACAAACTGTCAACAGAGCACCAAAGTACAGCAGGTCAAAGGACCCAACAGCAAACACCTCCCATGAAAAGGCATCCCAGGCTCCCTCTGAGGCTGTTCATTAATGACTTCTCATTATTGGGCAGGTGAACTGCAGGTTTGCTCCCACATTAGGTGGATCCAACATGGCAGCAGAGCTTCCAAGGAACCACAGGCACAAGGTGAGTCTCATCCTGCCAAGCACAAAGCTCCCGCTTCTTCAATATTTTGCTTTTTAAGATCTCACAGACTTACAGGCAGATGAAATGCTAGATAGAACACAATCCCCTGACAAAGAGAAAGGTCCAGACTTAGCTCAGATCATGGTAAGGTGAGTGAGTGGTCTTGGGAGGGGGTCTGGGCAGCAGATGGAACAGCAGAAACAGGCTCTGAAAATAGAGTGTGATCCTTCACCCGCACCACAGGAAGGATTTGAAGAGGGGAAAGGTATCCCAGTGACATTTCCCTTCAAGAGAACCCTTGTGTAGGTGGGACCTTGAGGAAGCTGGGCCTGGCAGTGTGTGTATATTTAGATTTCATTTATTCCTCTCCCAAACCTCCATCCTCCTGCCTGCCCCAGCTCTGCTGACTCCTCAGGGGCAGCACTGCAGAGACCTGACATAGGATCACAGAATCATGGAATGGTTTGGGCTGGAAGGGACCTTAAAGCACATCCTGCTCCACCCCCTGCCATGGGCAGGGACACGTTCCACTAGCCCAGGTTGCTCCAAGCCCTTTCCAACCTGGCCTTTGGACACTTCCAGGGATCCAGGGGCAGCCACAGCTTCTCTGGGCAACCTGGGCCAGGGCCTCCCCACCCTCACAGGGAAGAATTTCTTCCCAATATCCCACCTAAACCCACCCTCCTTCAGCTTAAGGCCATTGCTGTATGTGGCAGCTTAACCTACAGTCACTTGCTAAGGGCCACATCCCAAGATTTGCCTGAATTTTCTGTATATTCTTCTCTACACTTGAAAAACAACTCAGGGTAGGGTTGAGAGCACATTTTAAGCTGCACACCTGTTCTAAAAAGCCATGTATAGACAAGCTCTGAAACCTCGCTGCAGCTGCCTGCAGCCCTTGCTTCCACTCGTCCTCGGGGATGAGCATGAATTAAAAATCTGAAGACAACAGCAAATTTCATTTTTAATTAGCCAGGGCAGCCAGCCAAGGAGGGCTCCCCCACCCACCCATGGCTAGTGAAGCCTGACAGCTCTAAAGGATTTATGCTTCCCTGTGCATTCCCAGTGGCCATTCCAAGCACAGCAGCTCAAACAAGCGCCAGCCATGCAGCATTTGAGTGCAGTTAATATCCAACCAGGGAAGGACAGCAGTACATCCACAGCACCAGGCTTGGAGGGAACAAAGGGCACGGACTTCAGCTCAGCTCTGCCTTACCTCATCTCCGGGATCAAGAGTCCTGAGCTTAGCAGCACTCGGAGAATGAGAGTCCTTAAAAGCAAAGGAATTTTAAGGAAATTATAATAGAAGACCCATCTGCTTATTCTGCCTTTAATGTGGAGCTCTTGGCTCCCAGCACTCAAGGAGGCAACATGTAAAGCTTCTCAACCAGCTGTGTGGGGTGTCTGTGCATGCAAAGATCCAGTGCAGATACTCCATCCCAAACTGGCACAATTCAAGTAGTTCAGAGGGAAAGGGGAGGTAACTCTACTTTAAGCTGGCAAAATGCAAACAGAACATGAGGCTTTTCACATCCCAGGGCACCAGCACTGCTCAAACCAGGAGTTAAAGCTTGCAGCAACCTCAGCAGGCTCCAGCCCTGTGTCCCAGTGATCTACCCCAAAAATGGGGTTCAGCTGCACATAAAATGGGACACAAAGCTTTGTGATGTGAACACAGCTGGCTGCTGGCAGCCCCAGCACAGGCTGAGACCCGGGGAACAAGCAGAGCTCAGTGCTCATGGAATCACAGACTGGTTGGGGTTGGAAGGGGAGCTTGAAGATCATCCAGTTCCACCCCCTGCTGTGGGCAGGGATACCTTCCACCAGACCAGGCTGCTCCAAGCCCATCCAACCCGGCCTCGATGTTGCTCAAAGCCATCCCAGTAATTCAGGCTGGAGAGATGGAAACTGGCCCTGCTCTGCCTGTGCTCTGTCCCAGGTTGACAAGAGCTGCCACCTGCACAGTCACTGCTCCAGTCTCAGCTGCCAGTGCCACACTTCACCCTCCTCCTCCTCCTCCAGAAGTCATCACTTGGGATTAGTTTGCCACGAGCAAATCAGAAGGGTAAGCAACCACCACATATTAAATGTTCACCTTACAGGCTGACAATTAGAGGGTACAGCAGCAGTTCTTGCCACCAGGACTATAAGCACAACATGTTTTTATGCAAGAACTCTCAGCTGGTCCAGCCAGGCCACTGGGCTCCACCAGACCAGCTCTGTAAGAAGCCAAAAACTGGCCTTCATCTGCCCCACCAAGCAGCCTTGCCCTGCTGACAGGTACATCCATTCCCAGGGTTTTCAGGATGGCATCACCTGACCACACAGAATAATCTAGAAATAATGTTTATGAGTTAGAAGTCACCAACTGCAGCACTGTGGTCCAGAAGATGTGAGGTCAATATGCTTCACAAACTGGTTTCCCATGGTGCAGGCAAGAGCTTTCATGCAAATCTCATGCCAATGGTAGGGAAAAAAATGGCCACTTAACTCAGGGTTTTTTTAGCCACTTTAGGCAAACAGATGGAAGAGCTATCTATTCAAGGCAATCTCTAAGCCAAAAATCTGTGAGTTTTAGTTACAGCCATATCCTTCCATCAGTTAAACCTACCAGGGATGAGTTTACTTGCCTCAGGGCAAGCAGCACACAGTGCCTAAAGCAAGAGCTTTAATGCCAAATTTTAATTAAAGAAATCCTGTATCTATTGCAAGACAGAACAGCCTAGAGAAATAAATACACAAAAAGAACTCAGGAGCAACCATGAGCTGATCCTCCTTTATGGGCTTGTTCAAACCAGCTCATTGCTTTTGACTCTTCCCTGCTAAGAAAGGGGATGTTACTTGTTTTCAAGAGCTTGGGACAGCCAGCAGACTTGTATTCCAGGTTTCAGAGATGGGAAATTCAAAAAAAAAAAAAACCAAAAAAGATCTTCCAGATGTACAAGAGAGCTTCAAATCAGATCTGGTCCACACCACAGTACTGATGCATCTGCCAAACCAGATAGTTTTCTAATCACCTTCTACACTTCAATTGAAGACACCAAGTTTAAAGTCATCAAGTTCTTTATGATGCTTAACCAAGGAACAAAAAACAGGTTCACAACCTCTGGTAAGACATCCAAGAGTACTCACCAGCGTTCTCTTCCATCCCTTTTGCACACTATCTTCCTGAGCAACTCCTGCAAAAACAAGAAGCAAAAAAAAAAAAAATCAACACACAAACCGCAATTCCAAGCGTGACCAAAGCTCAGATTATTAGTTTCACTTCTCTATCAGCTCTGCTCAGCCTACACAAAACCAGCATGGAGGGAACCTAAAGCAGAAATCCTGCCCCAAACCAGGAACAAGAGTGTGGCATCATCACCCCTCTTTGAAGACATCAGTAGCCTCTAATCAGACACACGCTGAGCTGGAAGGGAAAGAGAAGCGAAATTAAGGTGCCGTAATTACAAAGCAGCAAATATTTGTTCCCAGGGAAAACATTCCACATCTGCCTCTTCAGGAAGGGATGTGCCTGCTGTAAAAGGGAACAGCTATTGCTTATCTAGCAAAGGCAGCACAGCACATGCACAGGAAGTATTTCAGATGTCACAGCATCAAGGCACTTCTGAACATGGGGGGGGTGTGAACACAGAAAAGAGGAGCCAGGATTTTAGCAGCAAAGCCAGCTTTTCTCTGGAGAAAGTTCTGAAAGGAGGTGCAAGAGGAACTAAGTTTGGGAAAATCGGGTATGTCTTGATTTTGACAGATGACGTAGCACAGTAAAAACAGGGAGGTTCTGCCCTGACAACCTTGCAGTTCAAACTAAGAACCCCAATCAGACACAGCAGCAGGCACAGCGTGGGGTGACTGAGGAAGAACTACAAAATAAGGCTGTTTCCAGTGCTGAGGAGTCAAACCCAGACTTAAACCATAGCCTTCCACCTTCTCTCCCAGCAGCAAAGCACAGTTTGGTGGCTGTAACTCCCCATCAGATCAGCTGGATCACCCTCATGTGACAACCTGCTGAGTGTGCAGCACGTGCTCAGCCTGCAGAGAGCACGGGAGCATCCCGGGGCTGCCGAGTCAGCAGAGACAGCCCCACCACCCCACCCCTGGGAGCTCTGCCCAGAGGGGCATTTCAGCTCTGCTTTGCTCAGCTCTGTGGGCAGAAACACTTCTCTGGATGAGGCAGCCATGCTCCAGGGCACTGCTCCCTGCTGCAGCTCCAGTACCACCACAGGGATGTTCTTGGATGGGGTGAAACAGTGCTGATGATCCCAGCTTTAAACAGGTCAGTGAAGAGAAGGACTTCTGGGCAGCAAGTCAGTCAGGAACATCAGATGATCTTGATTTCAGAAGGCAGACTGACACGAGTCACTTGAGCAACACCCTCAGAATCCCTACAGCTTAATCCATGGACACTGGGAAAATTAAAGTTAACTTTCACATGTGTTTGGGATGTGGTTTGGTACATCCACGTGCTGCACCAAGGACACCATCTGCAAGAACTCAGATGAATGAGTCACAGAATCATCAGGGTTGGGAAAGCCCTCTGAGATCACTGAGTTCAACCACTACCCCAGAACAGCCAAGGCCACCACTGAACTATGTCCCCAAGTGCCACATTCATGTGTTTTTGAGCACTTCCAGGGATAGTGACTCCACCACTGCCCTGGGCTGCCTCTTCCAGGGCTTGACAACCCTTCTGGTGAAAAATTTTTCATTACTGTCCAATCTAAACCTCCCCTGGCACAACTTGAGGCCATTTCCTCTCGTCCTGTCCCATGTTACCTGGGAGCAGAGCCCAACCCTCACCTGGCTCCACTCTCCTGTCAGGGAATGCTCCCCACTGAAGGCAAAGGACCCATCATTCCTTCCTGCCCTTTCAGCAAACCCTTCTGGGAAGGGAAAACAGAAGGAAAACAAAAATCAGCCACCTCAAAGCCTACTTGAACCTCAGTGCAGATGACAGAGCACTCCCACTCCCCCAGAGCCACCAGGGAGCTGGGTTTAATTTGCCTTTCAAGGGCATTCCTGCACAGGCTGCTCTGTGCTTTGCATATTCCAAGGGGCACATTTGTGCCTGGAATACTAATCCTGGCAGCCCCCATCACTGCTGGACACTCGCTGTACCCAAGGACATCTGTCACTGCCTGACAGCACGGCTGGAAGCACCTCAGTCTGTGCTGGGAGGATCCTTCTGAGCAAAACACTAAATCCACAATATCTGGTTATTAATAGAACAAGCACAAAAGGAACACTGGGGGGAAAAAAAATAAAAGTGATGCCAGGTTAGAGGAAGAAGGAGCAAAGTCCAGGCTCCCAGAGCATTGCCACAGGCTGCCAAAGCAGGAACACACAGCTCTAAGGAACAGGCACTTGCTCACCAAAGGAATGGATTAAGCAGTGCAGATCCTGCTGCCAGCCTTAACTAGGGCTTGGCTAATTGGGAAGCTGGGTTGAGATAACCTGCCCTGCAGAACAGCAATTTGCTTTTATCCCCAGTTGCTGTCAGAGGTTTCCCAGATACCTAACCCTGAGAAAACTTGGGATTTTTCATTTCCTCTGGCGTGACACATGCCACAGCTCTGAATATTCATGTGCCCCGAGTGCTCACACATTCCCGGGGCCTGACAGCTGTGTGAAATTCCTGTGTTTCCAAGAGTTCCCGGCACAGCTCCGGACACTCCGCAGCCCCTCCCGCTCTCCATCGCAGCAGCAGAACCGCGGCCTTTGTCTGCCCCGGGACTTCAAACACCCCACGGGTTTTTTTTTCCCCCAGCTCTTTGTACCAGTCCAAGAATATATCCCTGTTCCATTGACCCGGCTTTGAACTCCCGGCAGCAAGGTGATGGCTTTTTTCCAGCCGGGCAGCTAATCCACACACAATGGGAACTGCTCCGTGGCCATGCCCGAGTGTTTGCCACAGTTTTCCACCCTGTTTCTTCTTTCCCCTGTTTCTTCAGCCTTAATGCTCTCCCTGCTGCACGGGGAGTTTTGTCTTTCCCAGCCCTGTCACATCCTCCCGAGGGTGCATCCCACAAACCAGCCCAAATCCACACCCTGGCCCTCCTTCCATGCCTTCCCACCCATCCCTTGTGCCAGCACTGGTCCACCCACCTTGGGAACAGTGAAAGCTGCCCCAGATGCACCCCAGGCATGTCCAGAGGAGTGGGTTGGGAAGGACAGGACCTCGCTGTCACACCAAGGTGCCACTGTTTTTCCAGCCTCTGGCAATCCACATCCATGAGCTTTACTGCTGACCAGCTTCCCCCCTTTCTCATGGTCTAATTTTCAGTGACCCTTGCCCAAACCTCTGGAATAACAGGCATTTAGCTTGCTCCAGAGTGAAGCTCATTAGCTGGACCCCTCTGTCCTCACTGCTCATCTCTTCCAGTAACAGGAGCTTCCTTCAAAACACTATGGGATGTCTCCAAAAGTCCTGCTAAAACTCGAGCCAATGTTGGTTGTTTTTCCCAACTGAACTAGAAAAACTGACAACTCTTCCAAGCAGAAGTGGCACATTACTTCTCCACTGTGGCTGCCAACAGGGTTGCCTTAGGCATGGAAAGGCCCTTTCCATGCTGGCTCAGCTCTAAATCACCATCCAGAAGGGACCTGACAGCAGCTGGGCAGCAACCACAGGGCTTTTACTGTAATGAGGCACAAAACCTGAGGCTGTCTTGGAAAAAAAACAAACGTGGGGGAGAGAAAGGATGCTCTGATAAGGATCCAGAACTACAGCCAGCAGTTGGAGGGAGAGGGAAAAGGAAGGGTTAACAAACACCCAAGAACAAGGTCCTGTGCTAATACAGACCATGACCCGTGAAATTAAACAAGCTCACCTGACAACTCCTAGAAGATATTTAATTTTGACCTGATGTGGTGCTACCAGCAGCCAACAAACAAATATAATATTGTAATTCGTGATGCCAGTTCAACCCTTTGCTTTACACTGTTTAAAAATGCCATTGCTACAGCAGCACCCAGAAGGCCAAATCCCCTGCAGGTTCCCCCTGGAGCAGATGGCAGGAGCCCAGGGAGGGATTGAGGCTGCCTGGAAGAGCTCACCATCCCAACATGGCCAAGTGGACATCAGGAATAAGGCCAGCTGGGAGGTGGAGGCCAGGCACTGAGCATCCCTTTTTATAAAAGCGACATAAAAAATAAAAAAATCAATTCACCATTTTCTTCTCTCCCCAATCAGTTACTCATTCTGGGAGGGCAGATGAGTGGATTTTCACAAAGCTGAGGTAACTCCACCCAATGCCATGGGTCTGTTGGCCATGGAGCCCCACCAGGCCCCCCAGGGGGAGGGCTAAAGAAGCTCATTTTATCTGCCAGGCACGAGATTAAGAGCGTGGCAAACAATATTAAAATTTTGTTCCATAAAACAGAATAACTCAACAGCACCAAAGGGTTCTCCCAAGGGACAGATTTCAGCACGAGTGCACAAGCTGGAGCTTAAACATTACAAGGGAAATTCTTAAAAAAACCTAAACAGATCAACTGTGGCAAATACACTACTATAGAGTACAAGACAAGGTGTGAAGGTATAATTAACCTCCTGTTGGACTGAGCAGTACAGAGCAGAAAAGATTCACAAGCCCTTCTTCAGGTCAGTGGATGCCAAAAAGCTCATCTGTTTATCTGACCTCACTTCAAACCAAACCAACTCCACCTAAAAACCATAGTTTGCTCATGTCCTTCAGTGATATGGTTTGAACATCATTTGCTACAAAGGCTGGTTTTAAAAATCCTTCTGAGCAGCCTCGGCTGACCCAGTTTGTTCTGCACCAATCACACACGGAGCAGTGGAGAGGTCAGATGGAGGGAAATCACAATATTCCCCCCTCAATAAAACCACACAGATTAAACCCAGTTGTTCTCACAGCCCAGTCTGGCAACATGTCAATTAATGGGGTGCACCAGTAATTAAGAGCCCAGCAGTTTCTCTCTCTCTCTTCCCAAGGATCCCAACACTTCAGGCATTTCCACACTCGTTGGGAAGCAACAGCTTTGATCAGGAACAGAGCAGCTGGTTAGCACAGGAAAAGAGTTTTGTGGAAGAAGTGGGGGAAAAAAAAAATAAAAAAATCAGACAATATTATAACAACTCTACAAGCACCTGAAACAGAAAACTGGAATAACGAGGATCGAGAAACCTCAGTACAGTTGATATCACAGTCAGTGAAAC